AAAGTTACATAACTGAACAGTGAACATTCAAAAATAAAAGTGTCTCCCAGTGAATAAATAAAAGTGTATAGTAATCATTGATTACTAATCAAATTCAATCTCGAATTATCTGTTTCTTATGTTGTCTCTAAAAATGAGTTCTAATTATTTATACATAAGCTTTGCAACACCTATATAGCAAAAAATGTTCACACACATATTTTGTGAAGCTTTCAAATTTGATGGTATTTTTCATCGTTTAGTTTACAAGATCTGTAAAAAACTACTTTAAAAAAGATTTTTAAGTAAAAGTCAAAATTAACTCTCAATTCAGCTTAACAGATTCAACTAAATATTGTATGATATACCGGTATTTATCACAAAATATTCTAAATGGACACCAATATATACCATCCATATATACCAACATATATATGGTATATATACCATACCAATATATATTTGATGGTATAAACTTTTGTAAAACTTAATCATTTAATATATCGATGAATATTAATGAGCTTGATTACTTGATATCCTGTAATTTATTTATCAATAAATAGAATTGTTGTGTCATAAATTACAATGTAATAACGGTAATATATGTAATATTTAAAAAATCAAATAACTTACATTTTATTATTAATCAATCAAAATGTTGAATTATTGGAATAAATAATGAGAATATAACATAAAATGCAATCATTTACGTTTAAACGTCTAAACTTATCGTAACATTATAATAGATGTTAACATAATAGATTTATCACTTAACTCTAATATAACTTTAACTTTACAATAGAAATGTATTGTTTTATAGTATTGAAAAATAACTTATTTGATTTGATTTTCACGTGAAATCTTGAATAAACTATCACATCAACAGTTGAAATGACAATTTTAAGTTGTTTAATGAATAAGTAACTCACATAATGAACAGTGAAATAAGTCTAATTTTATTAGCTTTATTGGCTATAATCTCAAACATATTTTGTCAAAACTATACCGAAGCCGTGGATGATGAAAATACAACAGTAATGCATAATATAAGGGTAATTGTAATTCATTAAAAGATTAAAAATATGATTTATATTTGCAGTCAAAATTTAGCGGCACTTTTCATATAACAATTCATCAAACATTTCTCACCACCATTTCATTCTTAGTCTCTGTTTTGATCATCAATTTATTAATGCTTTCTATTGTTTGGAACTTTATAATAGATATGAGAAAAATTGAAAATCTTTAGAAAACAACTAATAATTTGTAAATTAATGCACAAATTAAGTAAAAATTGTAAGCATATTAAATATTTACATGAAATTTATATGTATTGACAAATTTGAACGAATGTAAATTAAATTGTATTGATGTTCGTTTTATAATATATTTGATAAAATAAGTATTGATTTTTCAAATGTTTAATATCATCAGCGCAAACAAGTTATTCATTTTTTACTCAAAAATATTGTATTGCAGTTTAATGACGTACTGAGAAAGTTACAAAATAATAGTGAATACCATTAGATTTAGATAAAACTACATTTCCTTTTTATTATTTTATAAACTTTTGATAAGATTTTCATTGAATCTTACAGTATATGGAAAGTAATAGAAAGAGAAATCTCTGCATTGAAACAAAGATTCAGAACTAATGAACAAATAAACTAAAAGCGGAACAAAATTTCCGATTCAAAGCACTTAATATAATAACCAATATTTGTATTCATTTAAAGGAGAAGTTAGAAAAGGAATAGGAATGGGATGGGAATGGGAGGTTAGAGTAGGATTTTGCTTGCAATTAAGAGTTTGTCAATTAATTTTCATATGATTTCCTTTATTTGCTGTTATTTGAGAACATGAAATGATGGAATCTATTAGGACTGAGCTATAGTTGTCTACATATCCTATATTAGCGCATATCGACTCTCAATCAAATGAGGGAACAGTAGCCCAGAGAAAGGGAGAGAAGAATACGGGCGAACGGAACGGAGTCACAGCCGGTTTGCCTCTGAAAGGGGCCGTAAGTCTAAGCTGTGAGTGAGCTATAGATTTGGCTTCACTTCGATTAGTTCACTATTCCTGCGATTCTTAATACAACCGCACAATCAACACATTCAACACATTCAGGCATTCAATCGATTTTAATACTGAAACTCCTCTTTAAATAAGTTTTAATCATTTGATTCAAAACAAGTGAATCTCGTTTCATGAGACAACTTATTTGAATATGTATTTTACAGTTAATGCCAATTATAATCATTAAAGCATTCATAAAGAATTATGTATCAGTAGTATATGTAATATCAATATTTGTGTCTATATTATAGAAATAAGAAAATTGTTTAAAACTAAGGCATTGACTCGAATTGAATTGAAATAAAACACAATCGTATGAAGAATACAGTGAATGTTGCCTTCTTTATGTGATATACAAAAACGATAGCATTGGTAGGGAACGGTATGAAATGGTATGTATGGACTGGTATGGTATGGCGTGATATCCATTTCGTGATATGTTATCCAAAAAAGGTAGTCTCTCTCAAAGCGCTGACAATTGTACAGCACTTGAATAGCTTTGAGGCTCAAAGCTCTGCCTGTTTTCTCATACCATCTCATTCTCATCGCATCCCAACATAATTGGGTATTAAAGCGAACACAAAACGAGACCAGATTTTGCGAAAGAAGAGAGAGAGAGAGAGAGAGAGAGAGCCTGAGAGAGAGAGCGAGAGAGAGAGAGCGAGAGAGAGAGAGCGAGAGAGCGAGAGAGAGAGGGAGAGAGAGCCTGTGTGTGTGTGTGAGAGAGAGAGAGAGGGAGGGAGAGAGCTTGTGTGTGTGAGAGCCTGTGAGAGAGTGTGTGAAGGAAAGGCATACAGAGTACAGACATGAAGTTTGATAGAGTATTGAGTGAAATGAAGGCGCTTTAGGAGACACTGTGTGGTGAGAGTTGTTGTGCTGTAGTGTCGCCCCTATGGCTCACTATGAGAGCGACCCAACACTTGGCATCGATTTTGTGTTTGGCTTACAGTCTCTCCACTCATCTCTTTGGCTCACATTGTGTTCAATAATAACCTCTCGTTTGAAGAGTTGATCCCAAAGTTTGTGTTGATATTTGCAAACAATAATAATAATCATAATTTGCAAGCATTTAGTGTTTGTGTGAGCGTTGACTCAATTGAATGCAAATTTGCTTTTCATGTCAACTATGGTTACAATCAATTGATTGACACAATCGATGGCCAACTGATGGATGAGATCCACGACTGTCTCCAGAGAATCACTTAATTACCCATTAATTCGCTGTCTTTACGGCTTTTCCTCTGCAGTTGTCATAAGAATCGATATATTCTTTAAAATAATGGTTAAGAAGAAGAAAAGTATTTCTCCCGAAGTATTCATTCATTGATTTGATTCTTGAATTTGATTTTAATTTTGTTTATGATTTCAGAAACAAAATACGAGTGATTTGAATGACACGACAACTGATCCGTCAGTTGATCCGCAGTCGGAACCGAACTCATCGGTTAAAAGCAATTATCCGTTCAAAAGTCAAGAGTGGGTCTCAACTCGTAGTTCCAGTAATTCAAAGAAGACTAAAGTGTGGAAAAGTCTCAAACAAATACTCGCGAGCGATAAGTCTTCGGCCATCACTGGTGTCTCGTATGCATCGCTCGATTGTAAGCCTTCCCGAAGACCAGCCAAAAGATATTCGGATTTAAGTGGACTTCCGGCCAATTATAAGGACCCGACGACTCAACTACTGTACCATAATTTGGATGAATTCGCTTTAATCAAGACTTTTTCAAATGATATCATTAATGGATATTTGGA